ATGTGACAGCATGCAGTAAAACACAGCAATGTCACTGTAATAATTTGCAAATCAGATGTGTACATACTGAGCATGCCAATATGAATGACATTCAATGAACTGCATACTCATGCTGCATAATAAAAAAAAAACACTGACTTAAGGACATCATGTGTCACACCGTTCCATGGTGCAAATATTTTTTTTCATTAGTAAGTATTTGGGGTTGAATACTTTCACTTTCACCTTCTTGAACCTCCACCTTATCGTGGTGGAGGGGTTTGAGTGCTCGAATGATCCTAGAGGCTATGTTCTCTGGGGCTTAAATGCCCCTGGTAGGGTCTCCCATGGTCTTTGTCTGATGGGTCTGATGGGTTCAAGACACCTTCATGAGGACCACACAATCGAGGCATGTGATGTCGTCCGGTACAACGGAGCCGGGGTCCCACCCTGGAGACAGGCCTGGGGTTGGGACTCGTCGGAGAGCACCTGGTGGCTGGGTTGCTCCTCGTGGGACCTGGCTGGGCCAACCTGAACAAGAGACGCGAGGCCATCCCCCAGGGGGCCCACCACCTGCAGGGGGGAACCATAGGGACCGGTGCAAAGTGGATCGGCCAGTGGCTGAAGGTGGAGACCTTGGCGGCCCAATCTCCGGATGCTTTGGCTGGCTCTAGGGACGTGGAATATCACCTTGCTGGGGCGAAGGAAGCCTGAGCTTGTGCAGGAGGTCGAGAGACCTCACTGGGGTTTACCCCAGTGGATGAGAGGGTTGCATCCCTGCGCCTTCGGGTTGGGGACAGGTCTCTGACTGTCGTTTTGGACTAGGGCAGAGCGCTTGTGCGGAGTACCCGGCCTTCTTGGTGTCCCTGTCCATTATTCTGCTGGGGGACTTCAACGCCCACGTGGGAAACGACAGTGACACCTGGAGAGGCGTGATTGGAAGGAATGGCCTCCCTGATCTGAATCCGAGTGGTGTTTCATTATTGGACTTCTGTGCTAGTCACGGATTGTCCATAATGAACACCATGTTCAAGCATAAGGGTGTTCATCAGTGCACTTGGCACCAGGACACCCTAGGCAGTAGGTCGATGATTGACTTTGTTGTCGTGTTGTCAGACCTTCGGCGCATGTTTTGGACACTTGTGCAGAGAGGGGCTGAGCTGTCCACTGATCATCACCTGGTGGTGAGTTGGATCCGCTGGAAGAGGAGAAATGCGGACAGACTTGGCAGGCCCAAGCGCAGTGAGGGTCTGCTGGGAATGTCTGGCGGAGCCCTTCGGCCAGGGATGTATTCAACTCCCACCTCGGGAGAGCTTTGACTAGATTCAGGGGGAGTTTGGAGACATAGAGTCCAAGTGGACCATGTTCTCCGCATCTATTGTCAATGCTGCTGCCCGTAGCTGTGGCCGTAAGGTCTGCGGTGCCTGTCGCGGCGGCAATCCCCAAACCCGGTGGTGGACACCGGCAGTAAGGGACGCTGTCAAGCTGAAGGAGGAGTCCTGTGGTTGGCTTATGGGACTCCTGAGGAGGCTGACGGATACCATAAGGCCAAGCGTGTCGCGGCCCGGGATGTGGTAGGACGCAAAAACACATGCCTGGGTGGAGTTCGGTGAGGCCATGGACAAGGACTACTGGTTGGCCTTGAAGCGGTTCTGGTAAACCGTCCGGTGCCTCAGGAGGGGGAAGCATTGCTTCGCCAACACTGTTTACAGTGGGGGTGGGAGGCTGCTGACCTCGGCTGAAGACATTATCGGGCAGTGGAAGGAGTACTTCGAGGATCTCCTCAATCCTGCCATCACGCATTCCCTGGTGGAAGCAGAGGCTGGGGACTCTGGGTTAGACTCTTTCATCACCCAGGCTGAAGTCACCGAGGTGGTTAAAAAGCTCCAAGGTGGCAAGGTATTAGGGGTGGATGAGATCCGCCCTGAGTACCTCGAGCCTCTGGATATTGTGGGGCTATCATGGTTGACACGCCTCTTCAACATTGTGTGACGGTCGGGGACAGTGCCTCTGGACTGGCAGACCGGGGTGGTTTTCATCTTTCATAAGAAGGGTGACCGGAGGGTGCGTTTCAACCATAGGGGGATCACACTCCTCAGCCTCCCTGGTAAGGCCTATGCCAGGGTATTGGAGAGGAGAGTCTGGCCGATAGTCGAACCTCTGCTTCAGGAGCAGCAGTGTGTTTTTTGTCCAGGCCGTGGAACACTGGACCAGCCCTATACCCTCTACAGGGTACTCGAGGGTTCATGGGAGTTTACCTAACTGGTTCACATGTATTTTGTGGACCTGAAGAAGCTATTCGACTGTGTCCCTCGTGCCCTGTGGGGGGTGCTCCAGGAGTACGGAGTCGGGGGCCCTTTATTAGGGGCTATCCGGTCTCTGTACAAGCAGAGAAGGAGTTTGGTACTCATTGCTGGCACTGAGTCGGACCTGTTCCCGGTACATGTTGGACTCTGGCAGGGCTGCCCTTTGTCACCGGTCCTGTTCATAACTTTTATGGACAGGATTTCTAGGCGCAGCCAAGGGCCGGACAGGGTCTGGTTTGGGGACCAGTGGATTTCGTCTCTTCTTTTTGCAGATGACGTGGTCCTGCTGGCCCCCTCTAGCCACGACCTACAGCATGCACTAGGGCAGTTTGCAGTTTGAGTGTGAAGCAGCCATGGTTCTCAACCGGAAAAGGGTGGCTTGTCCTCTTCAGATTGGAAGGGAGTTCCTGCCTCAAGTGGACGAGTTCAAGTATCTTGGGGTCTTGTTCACAAGTGAGGGGAGAATGGAGGGGCAGATCAACAGACGGATGAATGCGGCTGACGCAGCAATGGGGACGCTATACCGGTCTGTTGTGGTGAAGAGAGAGCTGAGCCGAAAAGCGAAGCTCTCGATTTACCAGTCGGTCTACGTTCCTACCCTCACCCTATGGCCATGAACTTTGGGTCATGACCGAAAGAACGAAATCCCAGATACAAGCGGTGGAAATGAGCTCCTCACCCTATCTCTAAGAGAATAGGGTGGCCGGGCACTCCCTTAGAGATAGGGTGAGGACCTCAGCCATCCGGGAGGAGCTCAGAGTAGAGCCACTGCTCCTCCACATCGAGAGGAGCCAGTTAGGGTGGCTCCAGCATCTAAACCGGATGCCACCTGTATGCCGTCCTCAGGAGGTGTTCCAGGCACGTCCCACTGGGAGGAGGCCCATGGGAAGGCCCAGGACACGCTGCAGGGACTATGTCGCTCGGCTGGCCTGGGAACGCCTTGGGCTCTCCCCGGAGGAGCTGGAGGAGGTGTCTGGGGAGAGGGACGTCTGGGCATTTCTACTGAGTCTGCTGCCCCCGCGACCCGGTCCCGGATAAATCCGTAGAAGTCTTGATTTATTCTTCATAGCAAAAAAAGTTAGGAAATTTGAGTTTGGCTGATATTTTCTTTGATGTAAAAATGTTTTTTTGTCAATAAGAATTATACCTTTGAAAAACCTGGATATTACGATTTAAATGTTGACATTTTGGAAGAAAAATGTATTTTTGGGTTAAGCTGCAGAGTTGAGTCTGTGAGTCAAGCAGCTTTTGGTGAAGACAGTGTGATGGTGTGGGGTAGTCACTCTCTCACTGGAAAGACAGGGCTTGTTATTATTAGACATAATCTCAGTTCAGTGTCATATCATATCAAGATGAGATTCTGCAACCAGTGGCCATCCAGTATCTGGATTCATAGGGACTGAACTCTGTCTGAGAAAATGTCAATGCTCGCACCCTCAGAGCAGGGGTCGAGCAGAATCTGGGAGTGGAAAGGCTAGCTGGCCTGCGGTTCTAACTTCAACCTCACTGAACATTTGTAGAATCAGTTATTCATGCCAGAGTGAGCACCACAAACACACTGGTGGATGTGCATCAAATGGTAATTGAAGAATTGGATGCTATCCCACAGCAGTGTGTGACCAAGCTGGTGACCAGCATTAGGAAGAGGAGCCAGGCTGTTATGGTTGTGTATAGTTCTCCTGCACACTACCGATGCTCCTGTTTGTAAATAAATAAATTGTTTAATTGCCAATATGTCTTATTTCTTCAATGTTCAATTATCAAATCCATTAAACACCAAAAAATAGTAAATGGTAGAATAAACAGTTTGACAATGACAGAGAGAATTGGACAAGTTTTATATGTGCGCAACTCACACACTCAACTTCTCAACCTACAAATGCATCCTTCTTACAAATGTGTAACATTTGAAAGGGAAGCAAACAAGTTTTACAATGGTATATAATTTATTGGCAGGACACATTGTTATAACAAAGGAAAAATTCACTAAGCGGATATTTTTCTTTCTGTTCATTCATTTTCATTACAGTATCTGTAAGTGGTGGTTTTTAGTACAAGCAATATAACTTGCTGCCAGGGGACCACAGCCTAGGAGGCAACACAAGTCAGTTTCACCCCAAATAAGTCTTTTATTACTTGTTTGCATGGTCAGTCAATGTGGCATGGGGGCCATGGGTGGATATTGACATTAAAGTTGGTGGTATCTGATTTTATATCATTTTTTTAGGAACCTAGTCTGGGATTAATCATCTCTAGCTCATAATCTAAAATATTTAGACTGGTCAAACCTTAACTGGATTATTGTACTGAACAGAGATTATTTAAAGCAACATTTAAAAGCACAATATATACATTGGTTGAAACCTGGACTGGGTTATGCTTACACATACCTTCAAACATAGTTTGTGATTTGTGAAAACCTTTACTTTTATTGTCAGTCAGTCATTTTCTATACCGCTTCTTCCATAGTGGGTGGTGGGAAAGCTGGTGCCTATCTTCAGCAGTCTAGGGGCGGGAAGCCGGGTACACCCTGGACAGGTCACCAGTCCATCGCAGGGCAACACACAAACAGTCGTGCGTACACTCATTCACATTCACACACCTAAGGGCAATTTAGAGAGACCAATTAACCCAACAGGTATGTCTTTGGACTGTGGGAGGAAGCCGGTGAGAACCCACGCATGCACAGGTAGAGCATTCAAACTCCATGCAGAAAGACCCCCAGCCGGGAGTTGAACCCAGGACCTTCTTGCCGCGAAAGCTAACAGTGCTACCAACTGCGCCACTGAGCAGCCCTTATCTTAATGTGAAAACAGAAAAAAATTTTGATTATTTTTAAAAAGATTGAAATACACATTGAAATAACATTGAAATACCTCCATATATATTCCTTTATACATGCTTAGCTCTCCCTATTTCTCTATGTATCTAGAAGTATAATGAAATTTATTTTAGCTTAACAAGACAAGCATCATAAAATTGCACAAAATATTTCCATTTTTTAGTTGCTTCACTTAAAAATACTGGAACAAGTAAAGATAACATAGCTACAAGGACTGCAGAAGTGTGTTAAAAGCAGACAAAATTCAAACAACTTTAAAAGATCTTTAGAGTGTCTGGAGATCTATTGATCAAGGCAAGACTTTTTGGCTCCTTGGAATCAAAGTATAAAAC